CATCCTATCTCCATACCTTTTCAACCTATATGCAGAACAGATTATCCGGGAGGCTGGGCTCTATGAGGAGAAATGTGGGGTCAGGATTGGTGGGCGATTTATCAACAATCTGCATTATGCGGATGGCACAAGCCTGCTTGCTGAAACTGAGGAGGACCTGAAGCGCCTGCTGCAGAGTGTCAAGGACTGCAGCCTACAATATGGATTGAGGCTCAATGTCAAGAAGATAAAGAAAGAAGCAAACCAGTATAAAATAAAAATTTTCTTTAAAAATAAATATTATCACTCCAAGAATTTATTATTTACTAGATGGTAGAGTGACAGGGATGAGCAAAACTTACATTGTTCTTTCAGGACTTAAACCAGCAAAAAAAAAAAAAAAAAGACAAAAGATATTTGCAGTAAAGTATATTTGCTGTTATGAGGGAGGAAAAAAAGTGGTATGAAATTATGAGGTCATATTTCTTGGTTTTCCACTTATAATAGTTCAATTCTATTTCAATCATGTGGTTTATGGAGAATTTAGTATTTTCTTCAAATTAAATTTCAATTTTGAGGTGAAATTAAGAGACTTTGAACCTTCCAGAAGTGCTAGGAGAAAGTTTCAGAAAACTTCTTTTATCAGAATTAGTAAGTCTACTCTTCTGGTTGCTTAGTGGTAAAGAATTGCCCTGACAATACAAAGGTTTGTGGTTCAAGTCCACCAGCTGCTCCTCAGGAAAAAGATGAGCAGTCTCTTCCTGTGTAAGAACTGCCTCTGAAAACCTAGAGGTTTGGCTGTGGGTCAGTTCTGGCTCAATGGTACACAATAACCACTGTTGAGTAAACCACATTCAGCTGTTAAATAAACATTTTTATGTACCATTGAGCAGGAACTAACCCATTGCTGACCCTCTGGCGGGTTTTTAGAGTCAGTTAATTCTATGGGAAGAGATTGCCCATCTTTCTCCTGAGGAGCAGTTGGGAGATTTGAACTGTTAGCCTTTGGGATTTTAGCACAATTTCTTACCTCTAGGCCACTAGAACGCTCTGTTGAATAAACTAATCATCCCTTATTCCCATTAGCTCTGAATATCTTGGAAAATTATTCTGGAAATTAAAAAAACAAAACTTCTGACACCTGTTTTTAACCCTGTGGCAATGGTGATAATTTGCACTGAATACTTCAAGCAATTCTTGTTCAAAATATATTATCTTTCTTGGTGTGTAGTATACAAAAGGAGTGTAAGTGAAAAGCACTGCCTAGGATCCAGTTCTGACTCTAGCTTGACTCTTCCACTAATTAGCTACGTGATTTTGGACTTGATGAGGCTTCAGTTCTTCAAAAATGTTAAATGATCCTTAGCTTCTAGAATTCTGATTTAGTAGGACTGCTTGGAGGAAATGAAATACTTTTGTACCTGTCTCTCCTCCTGTTTTGTCCCAACCACAATAATATTTCAGAAGCTCATTGCTACCAGAGAGTGAATCCTTAAGTAACTTATTCTCTGATGTGGACATCTGTGTACTCCTTAGGCTAAATCATTAAGTGTCAACAACCACCTGTCTATTCAGTTTAAGTAACTGGACACATTGGTGAGTCCCCGTGGAATAGTTCAGCTCCTTGGAAGGAGAATCTTGGCCAATTTAGTAATTTTACCTGTTACCAGAGGTCTTACTCCGAGCACAGTCGACCTTCCTAACAAAAAAGCAGTACAAACCAGTTTTGCCATTCAAGTCAGTCCTGACTCATGGCAGCCTTATGTATGTAAGGCTCTGCCCTGCAGGATTTTTGCTGACTGATCTTTTGGAAGTAAATCATCAAGCTTTATTCCCTAAGTGTCTCTGGGTGGACTCAAACTACCACTTCTTCTTTTATCAGCTAAATACATTATAACTATTAAACTACCAAGAGATTTCTTATTCCACTGCAACTCAAAGGCATGCAGTTCAAATCCACCTGCTGCTTCATGGGGAAAAGATGGCCAATCTCCTCTTATGAGACTGCTTCTGAAACACTATAGAAGGGTCAGCCCTTTTTGGCTGGGCAGTACATGACAATGACATCATAACTTAGAGCCAAGGTATTGCTGCTTATCTGACTGATGACATCTGATGATTTGAACACTCACTTTACCCCCACCTGCCTGATCAAGTTGTTGTTATGTGCTGTCAAGTCACTTATGATTCATAGTGACATAACAGCTCTGAAGCGTGCCCTGTTCTGAGCTGTCTCTGACACACCTGCCCCCATTACCACAGTCACTGTGTCAATCCATCTCATCTGGGGTCTTCCTCTCTTGTGCTGACCCTCCACCTTCCCAAGTATGGAACTGGTCCCTAAGGGCAGTATGCTCAAGTTATGTGAGACAGACCTTCAAAATCTTTGCCTTCAAGGAGCAACTTGGTTTCACCTTGTCCAGGACAGACCTGTTAGTTTTCTTGGCAGTCCATGATATGTTCAAGACTCTTCTCCAGCACCACAGCTCAAAGGCATCAATTCTACCGGTATCCTTAGTTATTATCCGGCTCTTTGATGCATAGCGAGTAATTGAAAAGACCATGGCCTGGATCAGGCACACCTTCGTCTCTAGACTGACATCCTTACTCTTCAGCTCTCTGGAGAGGTCCCTGAAAGAAAATTTTCCCATTGCAATTTTTCTTTTGATTTTCTGACTACTACTGCCAAGAGTGTTGATTGTGGGGCCAAGCAAGCTGAAATTGCAAACAATCTCCATCTCTTCTCCATCTATCATGATACTGCCAACTGACCCAGTGGGGAGAATCTTTGTTTTCTTGATGTTGATCTTCAATCCACATTGAAGGCTACAGTCCTTAACTATATGTAGAAGATGCTTCAGGTCTTTCTCAGTCTCAGCAAGCAAGGTTGTGTCATCTGCTTAAGGCAGGTTGTTGATGAGTCTTTCTCCAATTTTGATGCCACATTCTTCCTCATAAAGTCCAGCCTCCCAAATGATCTTTTCTGCATATAGATTAAAAAGGTGTGGAGTTAGTGTGCATCCCTGATGCACTTCTTTCCTGATTTTGAACCATGCAGTGTTTCCTTGCTCTGTTCTGATGATGGCTTCCTAGTCCACGTATAGGTTTCACATGAACATAATTAAGTGTCTGGGACTCTCATTCTTGTCAAGGTTAGCTGCAGTTTGTTGTGAACCATGCAGTCAAATGCCTTTGACATTCCTCTACTCCTCTGTGCTTTCAGCCTAGATCTATTTGACATTAACCATGATGGCTCCAGTGCCCTGGGTTCTTCTAAACCCAGCTTGTATTTCTGATAGTTCTCTGTCAATGTATTGTTCCAGTCAGTTTTGGATAATCACAGGTATTTGTGTATTTACACATAAGAACATCAGTCCTTAAGCAGAATTAAAAATTTTCATAATTAGCATTTTACCTAAAATTAGACAACTATAAAAAAAGAGTATTTAAAAATATTAAATGCCAATACACTGTTAATGATGAAATTAACTTTTCATTTTAATTTTTAAAAATTGGCCTCCTCATTGAAACAGATGAGGGAGGGAACTGTATAAAAGAAATATATGATTAGGAATTATTGCCGTGACAAGAGTCCAGAGTAAGAGCTGCATAGTAAAGTGGTCTCAGAGAGGAGACTGTGTAACAATGAAAGAACTTTTTTCCCAAAGAAAAAACAGACCTGGGGGGTGGGGGTGGGAGCAGGGAGGAACATGTGCAACAATGAATGAATGGAAATCTAAGTTCTTTATAAACTTTCATTAAAATCTCAATTTAAAAAAATTGGCCTCCTATGTTCTGATACCTCCTATTTTACTAATTGACCAATTTGTATAAATAATAATCAAGATACTTTGATCAGTAATTTGTCTTGCCTTCACATTTTATTCCTTTTTAAATTGTATTTTTATTTTCTACTTTTTCCAGAGCTTCTCCTTGTGAGGCTGAGCTTCAGGAATTAATGGAACAAATTGACATCATGGTAAGCAACAAAAAATTGGATTGGGAAAGGAAGATGCGGGCTTTAGAGACACGGTTAGATCTTCGAGATCAAGAACTGGCAAATGCACAAACCTGTCTGGATCAGAAAGGTCAAGAGGTACTGAAAACACTGTTAACAAATCATTAATTCCTCAGGCTTTCATAAGTAGTATTTAATCTGTCAGAATGTGTTTTTCACCATGCATACTCTTTATTCAAGCAGCAGCATTTACTTTTTTCAAAGTAAATTTCAGGAAATAATGTACTATAAATGTGTTCAATTAAACAGTAACATTCAGAACCTAAATCCATAGGCATTCCCTGATGCTCTTAGACATGAGATCAATCCTATCCTGAAAAGTAAACACACATTTACTAGATGTCAACACTCTTGGCACCAGCAGCCTGGAAATTAAAAGATCATTGCAATGGGAAAGTCTACTGTTAGGGATGTCTCCAAAGTACTGAAGAGCAATGGTGTCTCTTTGGAGACTATGGTTAGTCTGATACAGGCCATGGTCTTTGCAATCACTTGCTATGCATCAGAGAGTTGGACAATGACTAGGGGGGATAGAAGAATTGATGCCTTTGAGCTGTAGTGCTGGAGAAGAGTATTGAAGGTAACCATGGACTGCTAGGAAAACAGATTCATTCTGGAAAGGGTTAAACTGGACGGCTTCCTGAAGGTAAGGATTCTGAGGCTTCTTCTGACACACTTTGGACATGTTGTAAGGAGGAACCAGTCCTTGGAGAGGGTCATCATGCTTGGGAGGCTGGAGGAACAGCACAGGAAGGGAAGATCCGCTATGACATGGATTGATTCAGTGACTGGAGTAATAGGGATGGGTGTATCGGAGACAGTGAGATTGGCACAAGACAGAGCAGGATTTAAGGCTGTTGTACATAGGGTTGCTATGAGTCACAGGTGACTTAATGGCACATGACAAAAAGAACATGAAATAAATACATTCTCAAGCAAAGATGTCAGTGATTTAGCTGCTATAGAAACAAAGTAGTCATCAAAATGAACTGCGGGCAAAGTAGAGTTTAGGAGCATTTACTGCTTAAAATTTGCATCAAAAATATTTCCCGAAGGAAGTAAAATGTTAAGAACTGATTACCGAAAATAGTTTGGTGAAGCTGGGTTTATAAACCTAAATCACCCCCTTCAGAGGGTTCTCTGAGTCCTTGTCTTCTGACTGCCACGGTAGGGACCACCGACCAGCAAAGGAGTTCAGGAAAACCACATGCCTTCTAGATTGGCAGTTTTTGTATCTCTAAATTTTTCTTTTAGTCTATTAGTAAGAGAAATGCTGCCTTTATCATTAACTTTTTATTTAACAGTTTATTAACTGTTTGCTTAGTGTTATTCCTTCTCAGTGGAACTTAGAATACGTGGGGGAAGAGGGCAGGGATGCTTGGCTTTTCTTTTTTTTTTTCCTAGTAAAACCATGACATCAGATTTGATGTATTTAAGGGGTTGTTCTTTTACTTCTCTACCTTTAATGGCAGTTAATGTAAGCAGTTGCAGCACCTGTTTTTTTAAGCAGACAAGTTTGGCAAGCTGGGTCCCTAAGAACTGCTCTTAGATATTTTTGTGTAAGTTCTTAATTAAAGTCCAAAATTCATTTCATGGTACCACCAAAGCAGAGCTCCCATTGAAGACTGTTTGGTACCATCTAGTAGAATTTGGCTCATAGCAACCCCTTGGGATTTTGTAGACTATATAATCTTTACAGAAGGCTTTAAAGCACTTCTTCTCAGTTCAGTCATGGCCAAAGAAGTAAAGTCAGAATGGACTTGAATTTGTAAAATGTGGTTGAACTGGGATAATAAAAAGAACAAGAAAGATGATGGGTCAGTATCCTGCTAGGAACTTTACCTCTCTTTCAGAAAACAGGGACAGCATGCATATTGAATAGCAACCAAATCTCTTGAATGGCACAGTCAAAAACCACGTTGTCTCACTCAAAGATAGTGGTGAACAACATCTGCCACTATCCAGTCTCCCACATCAGGCTCATGAGATGACTCAGTATAGATCTTCCAAGTCTTCCATTGTAGAGCTGTGACACATAATTCTTCCCCATTTGGTTATCATTCCACTTTCTCCAAATTTTTAAAATTCTGTTGTATTTTAATTTCACAATCTCGACCACAACTGAAATAATTTTAACAATTTCAAAGCTCTGTTTCATAAGACCAGACAGCCAGGTCTTTGTCACAGAGAGCTACTTGCTAGATTTAAGTTGCTGACCTTTTTGTTACTGTCTGGGCACTTTATTAACCACTGTGCCGCTAGGGGCCCAAGAAAGCAGCTGAATGTTAGCAGAGCATTGATGGCATATAAACCTCTCAGAAAGACAGTATAGAGCAAATTCTTATCCTTAACTTAAAATGTGAGCAGTAAGGCTATTTTGTTAAATGCTCATACCATACTGCCTTACCTAGTGGAATATTACAAGTAATGTTGGGGTTTTGTTTTTGTCAACTTAGTTATTACTGGCTTACTTTAAAAACTGAAGTTCACATATTTGTTTTTGGTTTGGTGCAGTAGTTTTATTTTAATTGCACTCCTCTTTGTATATTTTCTAATTTTGTTGGGCAAAATTTAGAAGCAGTAATGTAAAATTTTGTGCTTAACACAGGTGGGATTACTTCGACAGAAGTTGGACAGTCTGGAAAAATGCAACTTAGCAATGACTCAGAATTATGAAGGACAGCTTCAAACACTAAAAGCTCAAGTAAGGAAACATCTTGAAATTTAATATACATTTTGATATATTGACTTTTAAATTATGCTTATTTATTAAAATGCAAGCAGAAGTCTTATAATTTTAGTTACATGTTTGATCTTTTCCTTTATTTTATATATAATAATTTTCTACTTTTTTACTTCATTAACTCTGTATATTTAAATATCCTTTTTTCTTTTTTTTGTTTGGGTTTTTTAAAAAATTTTACTTTATGTTGGTTTGCTCACAAAGTTTGTATACATAGGTTTCACACTATTCTTCATTCATATTGTGTTTCATACAATCATTCTAATGCCTTATGTTTTATAAAATCAGTCACCGTTGGACCTTGCTCATGATTTTTCCTTCTTGGGGGGAATATTAATCTGAGCCACTCATTCAATGCAATGTTTATCTTCCACATGATTCACAGTGCATGCTATAAAAGCACCTGTATCATTACTGGTAAGAATCCCTTTAAATAATAACACTTTGCTAAATTAGTAATTCTCTATTCTCAAGAGACTTGTGATTAATTAAATTATGATAATTGTCTATGTCAACAAAACAAAAATTCTCTTCTGCAGTCAGTCATTTTCTAATAATGATATGTTTAGCCTGTGGCAGTTTAAAATATAGAAGTTTGCTATTAAGAAATAGATAATAGAAAAAAAGGAAACTGGCTTTTACTACCTTGATACTTTTAAAAGCATTCCACAATGAGAAAATGCTTCTGAATATTTTGTGTGATGAGAGAGTGCATAATTTTTTTCTTAATTATCCCTATGTTTCCCCTCTGAGCTGGCAAGCAAAAGCCTCCCCTTCTGCTGTACATAGAGCAGTGGTCATCTAAGCATCTCAGTTGACTTTGACCTAGAGCAACCTTGCATACAACAGCCCATCTTACTGAGGCTCTTCCTTCCTTCTCTGATCCTCTACTCCTGTATGAGGAAGCACGAGGTTTTCTTCCAAAGACTAGCCCCTTCTGATAGCATGCCCAAAGTAGGTGAGACTAGGTCTCACCATTCTTGGCTCTAAGAAACACTGTGATTACACTTTTAGGACAATTTTTTTTTGTTCTTTTGGCAGTTCATTGTATATCCAATACTGGTCACCAGCACTACAAACAAAGGCCATAAATCAAATCTTCTTTTGTCTTCCTTATTCATTGCTCAACTTTCACATACATATAAATCAAATGAAAATATCATGGCTTGGGTAGGTGTACCTTAGTCTTTAAACTGATATCCTTGCTCTTTAGCAATATAAAGAGGTCCTTGAACAGCATATTTTTCCAGTGAAACACATCTTTTTATATCTTGACTGCTGTTGCTGTGGGTATTGATTGTGGATCCAAGTAAAATGAAATCCTTGACAATTTCAGTCTTTTCTCTATTTATTGTGATGTCATCTATTGGTCCAAGTGAGAGAATTTTTTTTTTTGTTTTCCTGATGTTGAAGTATAAGTTTTTAATCTTCTTTAGTGAATTACTCCAATTACTCTTCAATTTCAACAACCAAGGTTGTGTCTTCTGCACAGTGTAAGTTATTGATGCTTCTCTCTCCAGTCCAGATGCTATATTCTTCTTGATATACTCCGGCTTCTTGAATTATTTGTTCAGCATACAGATTGAGTAGTTAAAGAGAAAGGCTGTGACCCTGATAATCATGTTGTTGTTAGATGCCATTGAGTAGAATGTGACTCGTAGCAACGCTATGAACAACACTATGAACAAGATCTGAACCTTGCCCTGTCCTGTACCATCCTTACCATCTCTGATATGCTGAAGCCCATTGTTAATAGTCATTCTGTCAGTCCATCTTGTTGGAGGTCTTCTTCTCTCTCTCTCTGACTCTCCACATTTCCCAGTATGATGTCTTTTTCCTAGGACTGGCCCCTCCTGACAATATGCTAAAAGGATGTGAGGCAAAATTTGGCCATCTTAACCTCTAAAGAGTACCCTGGTTGCACTCCCTTCAGGAAGTGTTTGTTTGTGTAATTGTTAGCTGCAGTCAAGTAGCATATCACTCATAGTTACCCTGTGAGAACAAATCTGAACCCTGCCCTATCCTGTGCCATCCTATTGGCCCCTATACACTTGAGCCCATTGCCATAATCACTGAAGGTCTCCCTTTCTTTCATTGATTCTCCATCTTTCCAAGCATGATGTCCCTTTCCAAGGAATAGCATCTCCTAACAATATGTCCAGGGAGCTCTGGTGGCCTAGTGGTAAGAAGCTGTGCTGCAATCCCAAAGGCACATGGTTCAAATTCACCAGCTACTCAGTAGGAGAATGTTGGGCAGTCTCCTCCCATGTTATTAACTGCCTCTGAAAACTCAGTGGAGAGTCAACTCTTACTTACTCAAATCAATTCTTACCTGATGGCACACAAAAACAACATTTCCAAAATATGTGAGACAAAGCTTCATCATCCATGCCTCTGAAGATATCCCGTTATTCTGTTCAAATAACATGTTCTGTGTTTGAATAACATGTTTCAATGTATTCTGTGATGCGTCTACAAGCCAAGAAGCCCCAAGAATTTCTTAAAATCACCATAGCTAAAAGAGGATTATGGAACATGTTTTCCCCTTAGAGCTTCCAGAAGAAATCAATCCACTTAACACTCTACTTCACATTCTGCTTTTCAGAACTATGAAAGGATAAATTTATGTGGTTTTAGTTCCTCTCATTGTTACAACTGATTGTCAGATGGATCTTGGCTAAAAATAGAGAAGGCCACAAGGATGTCTTTTTGTATTTTGTTGACTGTGCAAAGGCATTTGACTCTGTGGCTCACAACAAATTATGGCCCAGAACACTCAATTGTGCTAATATGTAACCTAGACATAGACCAAGAAGCTGTTGTCCTAACAGAGCAAGGGAACACGACATTGTTTAAAATCAAGGAAGGTGTGCATGAGGGTTGTACTCTTTTTCCATATCTTGTCAGTCTGTGTGCTGAGCAAATTATTCAGGAAGCTAGACTTTATGAAAAACAATGTGGCTCAGCCCTTGCTGCAGTAGACTACAGCTTTCAATATCAACATCTCAACATCAAGAAAACAAAAATCCTCACCACTTAGCCAGTAGACAACATCTATAATAGAGATAATGGAGAAAAGATTGAAATTGTCAACAGTTTTACCTTGCTTGGACCCACAATCAACAGCCTTGGTACTAGCATTTGAGAAAAATAAAGATGTATTGCATTGGGGAAATGTGCTGTCAGGGACCTCTCCATAGAGCTCAAGAGCAACAACGTCAGTTTAAAGACTAACGTGCACCTGATTCAAGACATGGTCTTTTCAATTACCTGCTATATATCTACAAGTTGGAGAATGAAGAAGGATGAAAGAAGAAGAATTTATGCCTTTCAGTGTGGTGTTAGAAAAGAGTACTGAATAACCCATGGACTATCAAAGAACAAACAAAGATGTCTTGGAGGAAGTAGTGCTCATTAGAGGCAAGGATGGTAAAATTTCATATCACATATTTGGATGGTATTAGGAGGATCTAGTCCTTGGGGGAAAAAAGACATTATGCTGGGAAGGATGCAGAGTCAGAGAGAGAGAGGAAGACCCTCAACAAGATGGAGCGACAGTGACTGTAACAATGGGCTCGACTATATCAGAAATGGTGAGAATGGCCCAGGAGAGAGCAAGGTTCAAGTCTGTTGTCCATAAGGTCACTATGAGTCATAGTCAGCTCAATGATACCGAACAACAACAACTTCCTCTGAATCTAACTATTAAAACCAAAATAACTCCTTGAATAAGTAAAGCACTCCTGAAAAAGGAAAACAAGGTAGGAGGCATCACACTCCCTGGTTTCAAATCCTACTACACAGCCATAGTGGTCAAGACAGCGTATTACTTGTATAGAGACAGACACATAGATATCAATGGAATAGAATTGAGAACCCAGAAATCAGCTCATCTATCTATGTTCAAATGAGTTTTAACAAGAAAATCAAATCAGTTAAGTGGTGAAATGACAGCCTTTGTAACAAATGGTGTTGGCAAAATCTGTAGAAAACTCAAGCTAGACCCATACCTCAAACCATACACAAAAACCAACTCAAGGTGAATCAAGGACCTAGGAGTAAAACCAAAGACTATAAACTTCATTAGAGAAAGGCTTGGAAGAACTCTAGACTCTAATCCACAGTATGAACAGTCTTCCACGCATAATGAAAAACCTACAACCAGGAGAAAACAAAACAGATGAATGGGACCTTCTAAGAATCAAATCCCTATGCACATCAAAAAACTTCTCCAAAAAGTGCAACAATGAATGAATGGAAATCCAAAATCTCTGTAGATGTTCATTGAAATTAATTAAAAAAAAAAACAAAAAACCACAACTTCTCCAACAGTGTAAAAAGGAAAGCCACAGACTGGAAAAATATTTGGTAATAACACATCTGAAAAGGGACTCATATCTAAAATTTATAGAATATTCCTCATCAAGAAAAAGGTAAACAACCCAATCATAAAATAAGCACAGGCTATAAATAGATACTTTACCAAAGAAGACGTTCATATGGCAAACAAACACATGAAGACATGTTCTAAATCCCTAGCTATCAGATATATGCAAACAGAACAGCTATGAGATTATCATCTCACACCAGTAACAATAGCAAAGTTCAACAGAACAGCAAACAATAAATGCTGGCACGTTTGTGGAGAGATTGGAACCCTTAAACACTGCTGGTGAGAGTTTATAATGGTGCAACCACTATGGAAGGCAGTTTGGCACTTTCTTAAAAAATGCAATAGAAATGCCATTTGACACAGCAATTATACTCCTGGGAATATACCTTAAAGAAACCATAACCACCATCCAAATAGGTATATGCACACCCATATTTATTGCTTCAGTAATATATACAATAACAAAGAAACAGGAGCAACCAAAGTGCCCATCAACAAACAAATGGATAGAAAAAGTATAGTGTATTCGTACAATGGAATACTATGCAGCACTGAAAAACAGTTAACTCAATACATTACACAACATGGGTGACCCTGCAGAACACTATCTGCATGAAATACCTCAGTCACAAAAGGACAAATACAGCAAAGCACCACTCTTATAAAAAAAAATCTGACCTGAAGGTTTGAGAGGAGAATAGGATAAGAATGCATAGATATGAATATTACACTGGAATAGATGAAGGAAAGAGTTGTTTACAAGGAATATATGATTAGGCATTATATGAACTGCAATTGCCCAGACTAAGTACATTGCAAAAATGACCAGGGTGAGGTGGGGAGAGGGAAGTAATTGTGCAAAAATGAACAAATATTTTAAAAAAACAGAAAAAGTGAACTGGGAAGGGGGAAGGGAGGATGAGGGGGTAAAAATGTGCAACAATGAATGACTGAAAAGCTAACTTTTCTGTAAACTATTGTTAAAATTACAATGAAAATAAAAATTTTATATTAAAAAAGTCTCAAAAGATTAGAAAACATGGGAGAAATGTTTCCTAAGAAATACTGACACATTCTGCTATATTTAATCTATTATTTGAAGTTAGACCAGAATGGAAAAGAAATATAGCGTGTAAGTTTAGAAAGAGTTATTTGTAAGAAAATAATGAAATAGATTTTTATTTAACTGTATATTTCATGTTATTTGCATCATTTTAATAATTCGTATTTCTTTTCTTGATTAAAGTATAAAATTAAGTTACTGAAATTAAAATTGTCAACACAAGATGGCACTAAATAAAAGACAGAAAATGTAGGGATTTTTTTTGTGAGCTTTGCTACATATGGTTAAAACAAAACTGAACAAAACATTTATCAAGTGAATCATTGTTTAACTGTGCAGTTAATGAAGTTCCAAATTTACATGAAAACGGAATCGTGCTCAGCTTCAATAACTTCATTTTAATAACTGCTTCTGTCTTCACTAATTAGAACATTTCAGCTTTACTGCATTTTCTAATCATGACTTCATTTTCAAAGAGAAACACAAAAAAAGAGAGCTATGTTGTTGTTGTTGTTGTTGTCTAGTGAAACAAAATTGGAAATAACTGGTAAGAGTGAAATGTTAACATTGTCTATCATTTGCAGTTTTCCAAATTGACAAGTAGCTTTGAGAAACTGAGACTGCACCAGATGAAACAAAACAAAATTCGACAAAAAGAGCTACCACACCTCAAAGAAGACATGCCGTTGGAACTGAGCAATTTGAATGAAAAACTGGAGGTGAGATCGGTTTCCTTGTTTTCTTCAAGCGTATTAAAGATGGATTTTTATTATTGTTGTTGGTTTGGATTATTTATCTTTAGTGCTCACAATGGTTTGTACAGCTGTGTAGCAAGCACCGTTACAAATCAACTTTTTATTGAATATATTTTCTAAGTGCACCTTTCCTTCAGGCACTTAGTGAATTAAAACATCACTTTGATTTATATGTCTTATATATATATCAGCACTTGGGGAGAGCCAAAAAAGTAGTTCAAAGAAATTGCAGATGTTGAGTGAAATTGAAGGACACCCCTGGGGTCACTTAAAGAGAATATTTAATAAGTCTTTTAATGGCTTTTTAACTATTAGGTACTTAAATCCCAGAGATACCTCCTAACAGTCTCCAGAACAGAGCTTGAAGTTTCCGTGTGTTTTGTTTTTTCTTTAAAGAGGTAGTATCGCTTTAATATCTGTACTCCTTATCACCCTGCTTCTAAAATCTCAGTGTCAAATAAAGGTCTCCTATATTGTGGAGCTCTACTGGCCTAGTGATAAGTCTGTGCTGCAATCCTGAAGGTATGCAGTTTGAATCCACCAGTTGCTGTGCAGGAGAAAGATAGGCGGTCTCCTCCTGTGTCACTAACTGCCTCTGAGGGGTCAGTTCCAACCGGAATGGTTAACAACAACATGCCATATATATCCTTTTCCTTACTGCCTTAACTTTCTTTAACCTCAAGGAAAACAAAATAGGCTATATTTCTTCCCTGTGCTCTTGAGTGTTGTAGCTACAAGTCATATAACAGCAGAGAGATTTTAACCATAAATCCCGATTATGTAACCAAAGCCAGGTCCTCAGAGCTGCTCAGTTAGCATTTTTAATTGACCTTTGTCATGTTACTGTCTCTGTTGTTTTCATTCTTTTCAAGCCTGGAGTGTAGTCCTCCTCTGCCTCCAGGCTCTGCTTCTAGTTCACTGAACAGCAATGTGCCTCCCAGTCCCCCTTACTAGAAACTTCTTGAGAGTATTTATTTGATCTCTTCTTTCTCTTACCCTTCACTCTCAGTCTAGAGTTGTTTGCCACTTCCTCCTGCTATCTCCTTCCTTCTCCTATCTAATTGTCAGTGCCTTGTTTCATATGTCACCATTTTCCTGAAATTTTTCTTCAGAAGATCTTTAAGAGCAAGAGATGGGGGGAAGTTTCAATCTAAGCTCCAAACCAGTCAATTACTGGAACTGCAGTGGAAGTCTTGTGCTTTATCTTTTAAATTCTTGCAACTTTTACATCCTGC